CATAAATCGGGGGAAACCTGTATCCATAACTCAAGAAGTACTATATTCCAGTGGCTTCCTTTTTTTGGTTATCAGTGTTGAAAGGCCAAGGATTCAATGGACCTGACCTGAAACCTCCAGTGTAGAATCAGACTGGATATTTCAACAAGCCTGGTTAGAAAGTGGTCTGGTGCCACCCACAGGATTGTGATACTTGGGTCCAAATTCCTGCTCCTTCACAGACTTCCATTGTGATTTTAGACAAGTTACTTTCTGTACTTTAGTTTCACAGTTGTAAAATAGGGAAGGGAGCACCTCCCTACCTTACAGGGAATAAACATAATTAAGATTGGGAGGCATTCAGAAACTTTAAAGAAATGGACCCTACAAATAACTTAGGTAGGTGTAGGACTGTGATCTCCACAATTGTCAAAAGCATTAAATTCACATGTGCAATTAATGCAAAGCAATAAATTCTGGTGCTTATTGCCCCAGAGTTTATTGCTCCTGGGTGTGCCATTTGAATGTACACTGGAGATTACAGCACATTGAATCAAGTTGGAGCAGCCCCAGCTAGTAGGAGACTCAGGGAGGCATCAGCCTGCCAGCCTGGGGCTGCTCCCCCTTGGCTTAATGTGCTGCAGAGGGGCTGGCTGGGGCAGGAGGGTGCTCCAATGCAGAGCTAGGCAGCAGGCAGCCTCCTAACTGAGGCACCCTTGTGCCCAAGCCAGCTGGAGCAGTGTTTATATGTGTGCTGCTGCAGAGGACAAAAACTCCACAGCAGGACAGTACTTGTATTTACAAGCACTATCCTGCTGTGGAGTTAATTAGTTTACTCCAACCTAATAGGGGCTCATGTGTAGACCTGTACCATTTACTGCAGAGGCTGAAGATTCCACAGCCTCTCTGGGTAACCTGTTCCAGTGCTTCACTACCCCATAGTGAGAATGTTCTTCCTAATATCTAACTTAAACTTCCTTTGCTTCAATTTGAGACCATTGCTCATTGTTCTGTCATTTGGTGCCACTAAGAACAGTCCAGCTCCATCCTCTTTGGAACCCGTCTTCAGGTAGTTGAAGGCTGCTATTAAATCCCCTCTTAGTCTTCTCTTCTCCAGGTCAAATAAGCCTAGTTCCTTCAGCCTCTCCTCATAAGTCAGCCCCCTCATCATTTTCATTGCCCTCCACTAGACTCCCTCTAATTTGTCCACATTCTTTCTGTAGTGGGGAGCCCAAAACTGGACACAGTACTCCAGATGTGGCTTCACCAGCACTGACTACAGCAGAATAATCACTTCCCTTGCTTTTCTGGCAATACTCCTACCAATGCAGCCCAGTATGCCATTAGCTTTCTTCACCGATTACTACCCCATGGTCCTAATCCATGTGGGTACTAATGATGCGGCCAGGAGATGCCCTGATCACCTGATGGCAGACTACCATGCTCTGGGCGGCATGCTGAAGGAGATAGGCACACAGGTGGTTTTCTCTTCTGTCTTACCAGCGAGCGGACTTGGAAGATGGCATGCAACGTGCTTCAGGAATGGTGTCTCAAGGTGGGCTTTGGCTTCCTTGACAATGACAATGACCCGCACATCACGACAAGAGACATGCTCGGATGGGATGGGCTCCACCTTTCCACACGCTAAAGGTAAGTGTGTGTTTTCTTCTAGGTTGGCGGATCTCCTCCAGCAGGTTTTAAACTAGGCTTGTTGGGGGAAGGGGAAGTCGAGGGCGGAGGAAGCCTTGGACTGCAAAACCAAGCAACACCCACAAATACAGCCCAGCCTAGACCAACGAGCAGAACATATACACAGGTAATCAACAGGGGCCAGGGCACTGCTGAGATTAGGGGGCCAGTGCACACATCCTCAGGAGGCCTCAAATGCCTCTACACAAACACTCATAGCGTGGGAAACAAGCAAGAGGAACTTACCCTCCTGCTAGCTGACACCAACCCAGACATAGTGGGGCTCACTGAAATGTGGTGGGACCCAACGCATGACTGGGCGGTGAATATCAAGGGCTATAGGCTGTACAGGAGGGATAGGACAGGGAGGAAAGGTGGGGGTGTGGCGCTTTACATTAAAGAGGATTACACATCCTTGTCAATTAGCAAAGAATCAGAGGAGGGGCATTCTGAAGTCCTCTGGGTTAAAATACAAGGCAGTCGAGGGGAAAGAGACTTAACGGTGGGGGTCTACTACAGACCACCCAACCAAGGGGAAGATCTAGACAAGGAATTCTTAAGTCAGGTCACAGAGGTAGTTAAGTCAAAGGATGTGGTCATCATGGATGACCTGAACCTTCTAGACATCTGCTGGGAAGAGCAGTCATCCAGGTCTGACCGCT